GAAACTGCAACTTTTCGCGAAAACACCTTAGCCCGGAAAAAAATAGAACCTCCGGCATGGATTGTTTCGGCACATTGTCATCATTGTCGCTTTCTATCAAACCGTGGCAAGTCAAGAATGTCAAGCTTATAAAGCAAATGCCACACCCATGAAGAGGAACAGTGCGAAGGCGTGAATTGGAAGGGTGTGCAGTATCTCCGCACAAGTCCTACTTGGGCAACGTTGGTCCTGGTAACATGATTTGGTCTTGGAAACGATTTGGGATTGCAATTGATGATTTGGGAACACGTCAAAAACATATTGTAAATTGGATTGACCGTGAAACAGACCGCAAGGATTCCAAGTCTTCGGATAAATGGCGGCCAGATGAAGGTAGTAAGTTCCTGCCGACAAAATCTGGGCCCTATTGCTGAACGACGATATCAACCGTAGTACGACAGTCTTTGCAGAAAACAAGGAAAAAGCAAGCAAAGGGCAGTGCCTGTACTGGGGATCCTGCAGAGCACCTAGCCTTGCAAAAACTAGACGACGGATGGCCCGAGAGCGTAGAGGAGCAGAGTCTTCTGTTGTTAGTATGGAGACACTAAATTACAAGACAATATATATATATACATATAAAAAAGATGTATCATAAGCAGAAGAGAAGAGTAGTATCAAGACAATATATCATAAGCACACGACAATAGTTTGCATTGCATCGTATCTTTCGTACAGCTTTTCACACACAGAACTTTGGACAGACAGACGCTTTTGCACGCAGAGACTTTTACACCCAGACGCTTTTACACACAGAAACTTTTACACACAAACGCTTTTACACACAGAAGCTTTTACACGCAGACCCTTTTACACACAGACGCTTCTGCACGAATACACTTTTACACACAGACACTTTTACACACAGAAACTTTACACACAGACGCTTTTACACACAAACGCTTTTACACACAGACGCTTTTACACCACAAACGCTTTTACACACAGACGCTTTTGCACGCAGAGACTTTTACACCCAGACGCTTTTACACACAGAAACTTTTACACACAAATAACGCTTTTACACACAGAAGCTTTTACACGCAGACCCTTTTACACACAGACGCTTCTGCACGAATACGCTTTTACACACAGACGCTTTTACACACAGCACACACGCCCCTTTTACACACAAACACTTTTACACACAAAGACTTTTACACGCAGACGCTTTTACACGCAGACGCTTTTACACGCAGACACTTTTACACACAGACGCTTTTACACACAGACGCTTTTACACACAGACGCTTTTACACACAAACAGTTTTACAATGTTTTACACACAGAGACTTCTACACACAGACGCTTTTACACACAGAAGCTTTTACACACAAACGCTTTTACACACAGACGCTTTTACACACAGACGCTTGTACACGCAGACCCTTTTACACACAGACGCTTCTGCACGAATACACTTTTACACACAGACGCTTTTACACACAGAAGCTTTTACACACAGACGCTTTTACACACAGACGCTTTTACACACAGATGCTTTTGCACACAGATGCTTTTACACAGACGCTTTTACACAGACGCTTGTACACGCAGACCCTTTTACACACAGACGCTTCTGCACGAATACACTTTTACACACAGACGCTTTTACACACAGACGCTTTTACACGCAGACGCTTTTACACGCAGACACTTTTACACACAAACGCTTTGACGCACAGACGCTTTACACCACAGACACTTTTACACACAAACGCTTTTACACACAGACGCTTTTACACTTTACACCATAGAGGCTTTTACACACAGAAGCTTTTACACACAGCACACAGAAGCTTGTACACAGACACGTTTACACACAGAAGAAATCGTAATTTTACCTCAGTTTTTGGCGATCGAACCTGATTTCGTGCGAAAGGATTGCGACGGGAACCCGGAAATCGCAATTCTACTTCGGTTTTTTGGCGATCGAACCTCATTTCGTGCGAAAGGGTTGCACGGGAACCCGGAAATCGCAATTCTACTTTTTTGGCGATCGAACCTCATTTCGTGCGAAATGGTTGCGCCGGACGACTTGCAAATCGCAATTTTACCTCAGTTTTTTGGCGATCGAACCTCATTTCGTGCGAAAGGGTTGCGCCGGACGACTTGCAAATCGCAATTCTACTTCAGTTTTTGGCGATCGAACCTCATTTCGTGCGAAATGGTTGCGCCGGACGACTTGCAAATCGCAATTTTACCTCAGTTTTTTGGCGATCGAACCTCATTTCGTGCGGAAGGGTTGCGCCGGACGACTTGCAAATCGCAATTTTACCTCAGTTTTTGGCGATCAAACCTCATTTCGTGCGAAAGGGTTGCATTCGTGCCGTCTCGTTGGCACTGCCCCGCGCCTTCAAGAGAGAAATAGAAAAGAAGGAGAGGGCAAGAGGGCAAGAGGAGAAGATGTGAAGATGTGAGGATGTGAAGAATGAGCAGATGTGAAGATGAGAAGATGTGAAGATGAGAGGATGAGAAGATGTGAAGATGTAAAGATGAGCAGCTGTGAAGATGTGAGGATGTGAAGATGAGAGGATGTGAAGATGTGAGGATGTGAAGATGAGAGGATGTGAAGATGAGAGGATGTGAAGATGTGAAGATGTGAGGATGTGAAGACGAGCAGCTGTGAAGATGTGAGGATGTGAAGATGAGAGGATGTGAAGATGTGAGGATGTGACGATGAGAGGATGTGAAGATGTGAAGATGTGAAGATGAGAAGATGTGAAGATGTGAGGATGTGAAGATGGGAAGATGTGAAGAGGAGAAGATGTTTTACAGACCCCCACTATTGGAAGAACCCTGCGCTCAGACGCTCTCGGGAAAAAGAATACGCATCCAAATAAACAGAAATAAACCAATGCAAACAAACACAGCGCGATCAAACTATTGAGCAAAACAGCAGATTTCTTCTGATTAGGGCGTTGCCACTTGGGGACCTGCCTGTGGCGTAGCGCGGGGCCTTTCGAACGCGAGTTGGTCCCAAACCTATGTCACTTGGAACTTCTACATTTTGGGAAGGTGGCTGCAGCATGCTTTTGGGAAGTTCGGTGCTTGGGGGGAACCTCCTCATCCTCCATCCCGGCTCCAAACATCCCGCCTCTTCTCCCACCACCGCGCTTCGTCAACAAAGAGTTGTCCAACTTCATTGGCCAAAGCCCCTTGGCGGAGTTGCACTGAGGTCCAGCCATTCAGTTCCAACGTCTTGGCCATGTACCTCAGTCCCGCAATGCCAGGCTAGGAGAGAAAAAACACATGACATCGTCATATCGTCAGCAGCAGAAGTGGAACTTCGTTGGCGCGCCCCAGGCAGGAATTCATGCGCGGAGCGGCTGCTCAAGCAAAGGTTTTGACTACATATATTAAAAAAAACATGCCTTGAACTTGAACGGTTGTAATCGCGGATCTCCACGTACGGTAGCAACCAACCCGGATCTTGGATGATCTTGGCGCATATGTTCTCCCTGCACCAACCAAGTTTTGGTTTCTCAAATATGCTGCAATGCCATTTAGCGCGTTGGCGTGCTGACTCGAAAGACGGCAGGACATGTGCTTCAAACCTGCAACGTTGGCCGTCTTACAATTTTCCATGCTTCCTGTGCAAGAACCGCCCAAACTGCGGAAATACATCAGAAGAAACATCGGGGTGAGGCGAGGTTTGAGCAACTTCGATGGATGGGTTATATGTGAGACAGGACAAGCAAAGACATAACAGTTTTGCGCCATGTTTTTGCCAAAGAAAGCAGTCAACACGTCTCCAAGATCAAGGTTTTGCAGGCTAACCCGCAAGATGCATCGGCGGACACCAATGACGTTGTTCTGATGAACAGAAAGTCAACTGCAGATTCGACAACTCTTGGGCACAGAAGTGCGCACAATACAAACTGCAAGTACGAACAGCAAATACCCGCAGCTCTGCGTTACAAAGTCGCACGTCAGCCGAAAGTCCAATCTGGCTGGATCCAGTGGGTCCTAGCGCACCATTTTCATCAATTTTCGCAGTCATTTTGGGTGAGCCTGAAATGAACTGGTAAAAGGTTTTCCTTTTTCCCCAGACAGCGTGTCCACGTTGAGGGGCTCGTACGGGGTGTAAAGCCCGGGTTTGTTCAGGGTGCTCGTTGTGCCCCCAGGGTTTTGTCTGCGCCGGCTCGCGCAAAAGTTCCCTTGTGAGATGTCCGTGTGCATTTTGACTGCGCAGGCTCGCGCAAAGTGCACGGCTGTGTTTGCTCTGTTCCGAAGGTCTCGTTTACTGGTGCGCCGTGCTCGTTTTTTGAGCGTCGTCCATTTTTTGTGACAGGCGTGGGGCTTCCGGATGCTTCCCGGGCATCATGTTTTTGGTGACACGTATTTCTACAACCGTGTAGGCGTTGAGATTTTTGTTGTCACCGCACATGGATAGT